CAGAGAGCTTCATCTATGCTGATGATCGTGCCATCACTGCTCAAGCAGGGAGCTTTGAGATGGTTGAACAGATGACATCCAGGCAGTTGATGTCATCCAGAAAGCCCTGGAGCTGAGCGGCGACCACCCGCTCCAACACCTTGCCCAAAAAAGGGAGGTTGGAGATTGGTCTGTAGTTGTTCAACACCGTGGAGTCAAGGGAGACCTTTTTGAGGAGTGGTCGAACCATGGCCTGTTTAATCGAGATGGAAAAACCCCCCTGCTCCAGCGATGTATTAATGATCAACACAAACCAATCAACCAACCCACCCCTGGCAGATTTAATTAGTCCAGAGCCGACGTGGTCGGTCTCACAGCACCAAGGACCTCCTCCATTTCCTCAGGGAGAACAACCCACAAAATCGGACAACCCAGATTTTGAATCTGTTTTCTGCTGTGCACCTCTTACCACTGAACAAGTGGAGTCTTTGGACTATAAGAAAGTTTTGATTGATTGATTGATTGATTGATTGATTGACACTAGGGGTTTTGGCCAGCAGTCAGTCTCAACAGGACAACGCGACTTACTGATGCAATGTTGACCTGGCTCGCAATCCTGGCCGGCGAGCACCTCTCCCTGGGAGCCCCTCCTCCTCCAGCCAGGAAGCACTGGCCCATCTCGTGGGTCTTCTCCCCAACAAGATGCCCCTGCCTGGCCTCCTTCAATTGGGCCATTGTGACATCACCCAAGTGTCTTGAGCCCAGCTCCCCAGCAAAGCATCTCCACTGGTTGGAGGAGGACCAGTCCTGTGGCCATTTAGGCCCATTGACCAAGGGGTGATGTTTCACGGAGAACCAGATGTGGAGAAGTGGAATCCTCAGAGTCCATATACGTCAGGCATGGACAATAGGCTTGGGCAATCCATGGTTCTAAATGGTTCTAAAGTCCTTACAAAACTAAAGTTCTGGTGGTGAAAATTTCAGAACTCTAACAAAACTTTCAAAATTTAATTATTATTTCATTATTGGTGATTTTAATGATAGAACCAATTTTGATGATAGAACCATTTATTATGAAATTTTGAGAGTTTTGTTAGAGTTCTGAAATTTTCACCACCAGAACTTTAGTTTTGTAA